TGCTCAACCCAAGGCCTTTCCCTTTGCTCTCCTCTCCTCCAGGATCACATCAAATAATTTTTGAAAAGGCAATGAGTTTGGCCAGCATGAAACCTTTCGTGAGAAAACAGAATGCAGCAGTGATTCCCTGTGGCAGAGCCAAGCACATGGGATTCCGTGGACTGAACGTGTGCACTGGTGTCAGCAGCATGGAATTTCATTGTCCAGAAGGAATGTCTCACTTGGCTCCTACCCTCACAGAGGCACTGTGATTAGGTCTCATTAGAAAGATTATTAACAGTCTCCAAGGACACTTTCAAAACACTGGGAAGTCTCTGCTAATTGAAACTAAATGACAGCTGTCCAACTGCATTTTCCCTGCATTATCCCTGGGACAGGATTAGGTTTCTTTGTTCCTGCAGAATGTTTAAATATCAGTTATTTGCAGCAAGGTCTCTGTCCCGTGGCACCTGCCTGGGGGGGACAGAGCTCTGCTGCTCCTGCAGCCTGTTCCCAACATTCCAGCTGGCCCCAGGCCCAGCTCACAGATGGGGCAAACTGAGACAGGGGAAGGATTCCCTGTGCTCAGGCCAGAACAGGGAGCTGAATTTGGGAGTTTCTGCCTGAGAAGCAGCAAACACACCTACCCCAGGTGCCAACAGCATTGTCCACACCCGACGGATTGCCGTGGATCACCTGCTCCCCTCGGAAGGCCCAGCTGTTAATCAGGGTCAGCTCCTCTTCTGTCCACCTAGAAAGCAAGGAAGTAACTCCAACACAAACCACTCCAAACCAGTGGATAGGGAGGGGTCAGGCTCAGGGGGAAGATCCCAGCCCTGGCCTGGTGTAGATCAGATTTAAGGGAATTCAAGTCCAGACTCATCCCTGCCTCAGCCAACGTGGTGTTACCACACACACTGGAAAGGCTGAGGGAGCTGGGATTGCTCAGCCTGGAGAGGAGAAGCTTTGGGGCTCCGTAATTCCAGTGCCTAAAGGGGCTACAAGAAAGAGAGGCTATTTACAACGGCCTGGAATGACAGTACAAGGGGGAATGGCTTTAAATTGACAGATATCAACAAGTTTAGATTGGATACTAGGAAAAAGTTCTTCCTTGTGAGGGCAGTGAAGCCAGTGAAGCCCTGGTTGTGCAGGGACACCTCCCACTCTCCCAGGTTGCTCCAAGCCCCATCCAACCTGGCCTTGGACAATTCCAGGGATCCAGGGGCAGCCACAGCTTCTCTGGGCAGCCTCTGCCAGAGCCTCACCATGCTCAGGGAGGAATTCCCAGTGTCCCATCTAATCCTGCTCTCAGTCTGAGCAAAAAACCACACCTCTGACCCTTCCTGCACACCACAAGTCCATTCAACAGGTATTCCATGCTCGGGCAGAGGCACAAATCCACATTTTGGGAAAGCCTTGCAGCATCTTGCAAGGCAAGGCAGAAATTCCAAGAGCCACGTGCTATTCAGAAACTTCACTCCTGCTTCCCTGGGCCTTGGCTGAATGTCCTTATCCATGTCCACACACCTTGCATTCCACCTCCAGGATTTAATCTGGGAGCACTCAGCAAACAGCTCACACCAGCAGCCTCAGGAACAGGAGTAAACCACTTGTTTTTAATCCTCTTTGAGAGGCTGCAATTCCTCCCGACACAGGAGCCTTTCTATCCTGCTGTTCTTTTCTTGCCATGGGAAGCAAAATCCTTCTGAAGTCTGACACCCTCAGCTCTCTGCACACCAGCTGGAAGGCAGGAATTGTGCAGGATCCATGCTGAAGGCACGGAGGGTGAGCAGGGAATGAAGACATCCTGACTGCACCACTTGGAGCTGCCCTTTTATTTCCCAATTTGGGAGATTTGCCCAAGCACAGGGGACAAAGTGCTCCCAACAAGAACCTGCTTCTGTGTCAGGCTGCAGATTCTGGTTCAGAAGCAGAACACAGAACCACCCTCCTTGCTGTCTCACACTCAGCCCCACACAAAATCCCACACAACAGAGGTTCTGCCCCTCCAGCTTTCATTTTGAACAGCTTCAAACAGAGCTTCCCCTCACAGGGGCACAGCACTCCAGGCTTCCAAAGGGGAGCTCCAAGGGCAGAAGGAAAGAAACTCTCTTTCATCAGGTACTGATAAAAGGGAAAGACAGGCAGGAGATCAGGAGGAAATGCAGCACATGCAGAAAAGAATTCATGAGAAATGCAAAAAAAAAAAAAACCAGAAAGGATCCTCGAGGACTCAAAGCAAAACCTGGAAGATGCTCAGAGCCAGAGGAAACTGAGGTTGAAAAATGTCAGTGTGTTTTATTAGATTGGAAAAATAAAGCTTTTCCCCCCCTTTTTAGGTATGTTTTTCTGACCCTACACAAGGGAAACAGGGGGAGTTTTACAAAGTCTGGGACAGGGCAGGGAACACTGGGCATGGACAGGAGATGGGCTCAGGGTGTCACTGGTGGTGACAGCCAAGAGAGACCAGCAGAGGTGGCAGTGCCAGAACTCATGCAGGCAAAAGGGAAAGAGGAGCACAGGGAGCAGAGCTGTGCATCCCAGGCTGGAATTCCTCACCTGGCTGTGGATTCTCCCTCCTGCAGTGGGCAGGAGATGGCTCCACACACCATGAGCAGGGCTGCAGCCAGGCACACAGCATAGGCAGCACTGGATCCCAGCCCTGCTCCCGTGGGCAGCTCCGACCACACCACGATCTCCACGCTGGGAACATCCCTGGAAAAACAGACACACAGGGACTGGCACAAGCACTCTGAATTCCACCTCCAGACAACATGAAAAAGGCAAAGAGGCTGGTTAGGACTGATCACAGGGAAAGCTGGTTGAGAATTGGCAACATCAGCACGTGCATCTGACACACTGGGGCTTCAGGAGGGCTCATTCCTGAATGGAGCAGCCTGGCCAAGCCCTTGTGCTGGAATAAATCCCTCCTGAGCTGGACCCATGATTGGCACAGCCTGTCAGGCTGCTAGAAGGGGTTTCTGGTAACTAAATACCTGAGCAGCACCATAAAGAGCCCCTTCAGAGGTTGCTGTAAACAGGATTGTAAACATATTTCTGAATAAAGTGCAAACATCCCAAATCTGTAATTGCACAGCCACATCCCACTGGAGCAAGAGGCTGGTGGGGAAGATGGAACGTGGACATATCCATGTCCCTTTGCTCCACTGAACACCTGGGTTGTGTTACTGACCCCAAAATCAAGCCCAGGAGCTTTCCAGGGCTGCTGAGTGACAGTCCCAGTGCCACCCTGAGACTGAAGGGAAACCACAACCCAGCTGCACATCCCAGCTCTTCATCCTTGGATTTCTTGGATGAGAAGATGGAAGTTAGGCTCTGCTTTGGTTTCTGACACTGCCCTGAGCACCCATCCAGTCACACAGAGATCACTGATGGTGCTGGGCAAGGCTGGCAACAGCCCCATTTGCCAGAGTTTTAGGGAGATACAGCCCATAAAAAAATCAGACTTAGTTCAGACAACAAATTCACAGTTTATTTCTGTTTTTCCAGTCTAAACCAGGAGCTGCCTGCTGGAGGGAGGGGTGTGTGTGTTGTGACTGTGGCATGAACTGCTCTGGTTTCAGCCCTCAGAACTGAGAGCAGAGACTCCCAGCTCACCTGCCTGAAGCACCTACGCACCACCCAAATTTTGGGGCAGGAGCAGAGCCTTACCCATACTTAGCAGAAATAGCCAGGCACATATACAGGAAGGCAAGAGTAGCAAGACTTTCTGGAGCTGAGGCCCCAGCAGCAATTCCAGCAAACTCCCTCAGTGCATCCAGCTGTTCTAGGCTGGGGGACTTGGGCTCATCACCATCAGCTATGGAAGCAAGCAGGGGAGAGTTTAAAGACTTAAAAAAACAGAATTGTTACTATTTACAACAAAACCTTCTGTTACAGCAGGGAGCAACAGCTGGGGCCAATTTCAGGTTCTACTTGAGGATCTGTGATAAAACAACAACAAAATCTCCACCAGGGACTCTGAAATCTCAGCGTTTCCACACTCCACACTTCCAAATGTTTCCCCTGCCTACACCTCCCATTGCATCCACCCATAATCACTACGGAAAACATGGCAAGTCACAAACTCTTCATTAAAGAATGTGGATTTTTGGAACTGGGATATCCTGGGGCTCCAGCCAGTGCAAGGTGCTGCAGAAATTCCCATGGGGGCTGATGTGGGACAGACAGGCAGGAAATCAGGCCCAGCCTGGCTCCTGCCTGTGTCACAGGAGGACACCGGAACAAGTCCTTGGAACCCAAACCAGGAGGGGACAGGGCCACGCAGGGCCACCTGAGCATCAGCGGGGTCACAAGGGGAATGTAAATAACTGAGAGGTGCAGGGACAGGTCAGCGAGCGGGGTCAGAGACAAATAACAAGGGGGACAAATAACCCCACAGAGTCACCCCACGGGGGTCCCAGCACGGTCACCGGGGTGCGGCAGGCACCGAGCGGTACCGAGAGCCCCTCACTGCCCCGGGGCAGCTCCTCCTTCCCCCGGCCCTTGCCTGCGATCCGCCCCCGCAGGGCCCGGAGGTCCGGGGTGTCCCAGCTCCTGCGGACTCCCACGCCGGGCAGGAAGACGCTCAGCCGGCCCTCAGCGCCGGGCCGCAGGCGGAGAAACGTCCGCAGGTCCAGCGCCACGGCCAGGGCCACCTGCGGGCGGAGAACGGGGGTCAGCGGCGCCTCACCGAGCTGGGCAGCCCTCCTTGCCCCGCCGCGCCCTCACCTTGCCCAGCACCACGGCGTGCTCCCCGTGCAGGATCACCTTGCCCGGCGCCGACACCGCCAGCTCCCGCTCCCACATCGCCGCCGCCTCACGGCCCGCGCCGACTGACAGCCCCACCCACCAATCGGGGCCGCGCCCTGCCCCGCCTCCCTGCTCTCAGCCAATAGCCGGGCGCCGTGCGAGGGCGGGACTTGCGGGCGGCCAATGGGAAGGGGGCGTTGCGGCGTGGCGTGGCGCTGGGGTGACAGCCTGGGCTGAGGGCGGGACGGCGGCGACGGCGGCCGGGAGGGATGTGGCGGCGGGCGGCGGCGGCGGCGGGACGGGGACTGCGGGGGCCGCCGGCGATGGTGGGGCGGCGGTGGCGGAGCGGGGCGGGCAGGTGAGCGTGGGAGGGCCGAGACCCCCTCACGGCGTCGTTGCGCCCCTCACGGCGTCGTTCCGCCCCTCACGGTGTGTCCCCCCCTCGCAGTGTCCCCCGGTGTCCCCTCACGGTTTGTGCCTCCACAGCCCCGACCGCGCCGCTGCCGAGCGGGCCCCGAGGATCTACACGAGGACGGGAGACTCAGGTAGAGCCCGGGGACCCCCGGGGGCCGCGGGCGGAGCTCCCCGGGCCAGCCCTGAGCGCCTCCCGCCTTTCCCAAAGGATTCTCCAGCACCTTCACCGGGGAGCGGCGGCCCAAGGGCGACCGCATCTTCGAGGCCCTCGGAGCCACGGACGAGCTGAGCTCGGCCATCGGGTAAGGACCGGCTGGGGGGATCCAAGTCACATGGAAAATCATGTTTGTTGTGATTTCTTCATTCCAAGCTAACTGTGTTTTGGTTTTTTCTCTCTGTCCAAGGCTGGCTGGTGAGTTTAGCAGTGAAAAGGGTCACACGTTTGTTGATCAGCTTCATAAAGTGAGTATTAATGATCATCTTCATCCAGTGCAGTCCCTTACCTGTGCTATTAAAACATAACTCCTATGCTTATTGTGCTTATGTTATATAGGAGTTAAGTTATGCTTAACTCCTGTAACTTACCTATGCTATTAAAACATAACATAACAAAACATAAGTTCATTAAAACATGAACTCCTTAATTTTAGCCACAGTGCTCCCACTGACGCACAGGAATTCAATACATTTCAGTATATAAATAGGAATTCAATAGTATTTCAATATATAAATCTTTAAGGCTTCCTTTATTGCTCTCTAAGAGGCAAATTTCTTTAACCAGGAAGGAAGCTGCTAGATCAAATTATTAGTTATGGGCAGACAGATTCATCTCTAGGTTTATTCTAAGTCAGATCCACATTATGAACAGGAGTTTTGTTTGAAACTGGGACACAAACCAACCACAAGGGCACAGCAGTGACACAGGTCCTGCCTGGGCAGCCTGTGAGTTTGGCTGCTCAGCTCTGCTGAGCACAGGAATGTGAACAGCCATGGCTGGGAGTGACAGCAGTTGTGGTTTTTATCCAGGTCCAGTGCATGCTGCAGGATGTGGGCTCCAACATTGCCACACCACTCTCCTCAGCCAGGGAGGCTCACCGGAGTAAGTCCTGCTTTTCCTGGGGTGGCAGGGCTTGGGCACAGCCTGCTGTGGGTGGTGGGATGCTGAGTGTTTGGTTTCTTAGGACTTGCTGATCCAAGAAAGCAAAATCAGAGCTCAGCTTGTTGTCTGAATCACTTTTTTTCAGCTGAATTTTCTCTCCCCTCTGTAGAACGAACGTCGTTCAGCGAGAAGCCCGTGCTGGAGCTGGAGCAGTGGATTGACAGCTACTCAGAGCAGCTGCCTCCCCTCAGAGCCTTCATCCTGCCCGTAGGTGCTGCCTGTGCCCCTCACCTCCTCGGGGTAGCCCTGCTGCACTGCCCACCGTGGGAAAGCAGCCTGGGAGGTGCTGTTTCCATGGGCAAACGCCAAGAGAAAAGCAGAGACAAGGAGCTGGGAGTTCCTTTTGCCCCCCCTGCTGCACTGGGATGTCCTGGCTGTGGCACAGGGATCAGCTCCATGTGTGTGGGAGGGCAGGGGGGCTGTGCCTGCTGCTGCAGGCACTGAGTGCTGTTTCCTTGCTGTTCCAGTCGGGGGGCAGGAGCAGTGCTGCTCTCCACTTCTCCCGAGCCGTGTGCCGCAGGGCTGAGCGGTGGTGAGTGCTGTGCTGGGGTCACCCTGAGGAAAGGGGATGGGGACACCCCAGTGACAGCAACCCAGGGCTGGGCTGGGCTTGGGGCTCAAGCCAAGCTTTTGTGTGTTTAGTCCAATTCCAGGAGTGCAGGAGGTACAAAGCCAGGCTCTGTTCTTCCTTCCCCAGCCTAAACCTTTTGGAATTCTGCAGCCCCATCCAACCTGGCCTTGGATGCTTCCAGGGATGGAGCAGCCAGAGCTTCTCTGGCCAGGGCCTCACCACCCTCACAGGGAAGAATTCCTTCCCAGTATCCCATCTAACCCTGCCTCTGGCAGTGGGAAGCCATTCCCTCTCCTGTCACTCCAGGTCCTTGTAAATAGTCTCTGTTCAGTAATTCCCATGGATGAGTATCCTGGGAGGAGCAGAGCAGGGGGCTTCCAGGACAAACACAAATATTTCTGGCATCATTTATCCCTCCCAGATCCCCTTGGGAAGCAAAGATCCTTCACTTCTGCAGGGGTCAAAATGGGGACCCCAGGAGAGGTTTGGGGTGGGAAGAGGCTCCAGCCTTTGTGGGCTCAGAACTGAAAAATTAAACACCAGAATTTCCCTTTGCTTTTCCCAGCGTGGTCCCTTTAGTCCAAGCAGGAGAAGCAGATCCAAACGTGGCCAAGTATTTAAACAGGTAAAAAAACAAAATCCCAAACCATTGCCCTGTCCTACTGAAGCATTCCCTTAGTTCTGGGAATAAAACTGGGGGAGGTTTGCTTCTCAACAAGCTTCTCTTCTGGAATAAGATCACTTGTTTTCCTGCTTCTCCCTTGCCTTCCAGGCTCAGTGATTATCTCTTTGTCCTGGCACGTTATGCTGCAATGAAGGAAGGGAAGGAAGAGAAAATCTACATAAAGCCTGAGCCCTAGCTGGGAGCTGGAATGTTTTGTCCTTGATTATGGAAAACTAAATCCAGTTGACTGCTTTTGTCCATCAAGGAAGGGAGAGAGAACAAGCCTGGACTGGAAATTGGAGCTGCCAAGGATTTCCATGTGAAATAACCAGGACCTTGTTGATAAATCCTGAGAGGAACAGAATCACAGAATATCCTGAGTTGGAAGGGACCCAAACACACCTGTTCTATTCCCTGGGCCTGGCCCACACATCCCATGTGGGGATGGCTCTGGAGTCACTGCTTCTCCCAGGTGGGAGTTGAAGCAGGAGAATTCCATAACGTTTTGGAGATGCCTTCATTTCCCTGGGCAGCAGCAGGTGCTGTGGGAAGGCTCTGACAGGACTCTGAGGGATGATGAAGGGAAAACAATCAGCTCCTCCTCTGAAGTCTCAGTGCTCGTATGGAGCAGCAGCTGGAGGCGTTTGGGAATTGTGTCTGCAGCTCTGAAATAATAAATGTGAATTTCCTGGTACCAAAGGACCACAAACTGTCACATTTTAACACCGAGCCCTGTGTGCTTTGCTGCTCCAAGTCCCTTCCAATCCGTCAGTTCTGGCTGGAGCTGAGCTGTACAGATTTACAGGAATGCACCAAGAATTCCTTGGCTCTGGCTGCCTCTTGTACATCATGTGAGGAATGTCTCTGTGCTGACAATCCAGGGCATCCTCTGCCAGGAACAGGATGGAGGGGGTGAAGCAGGAAAGGCCAAATCCCAGGGTCTGTGTGCTGGGGTTGTCTCCATGTGGAGCTGTCCCTTGGAATGGTGGGACCAACTGCCCCTCTGGCTGCAGGAACAGCTGGGGGAGCAGAGCCCAGGGTTTGGGAGCACCCAGGGCATGGAGGGTGCAGGAAAAGGGGTTGGGGTGAGGATCAGGGCCCTGCTGGAGCTGGGTGAGGGGGCAGCACCCCAAGGGTTCCTCCAGGCTGTTCCTGCTGAGCCTGGAATGTTTCTCCACGGAGCCCTCAGCAGAGCAGGCTGGAGAGAGCTCACACCCACATCACAATTCCAGCTTTGCACTCGAGTCCAAGCTGCTTCCAGCTTGGAAATACACCTGGGAAGAACCCATGTGAAGCCTGCTGGTGTAATTTTTCCCCCTGGGAATGCTGTGGGCTGCAAGGTGGTGATGCCCATCCAGAGCTTGTCCTGCTTTTAGTGAGGCAGCTTTTAAATCCATCCTGCCCCTTTTCCCGTTAAATTATTTGAGTGGAACCAACCTTAAACTTGTTCTCCAAAGAATCTCTGGCTCTGTCCCTTTTTGGGCAGTGAGGAATGCTCAGGAATGAGTGAGGAGTGCCCAGCACTAACACATCTCCCATCTCATCACTCACCTGGGTTTGAGGCAGATATTTCATGGCTCTTGTTAATGCACATTTTTCATGGAGTAATTTTCCAAGGCTCATCCTGGAGCACATCCTGGTGACAAATGCTCTGGATTTGGATGGTCCCATCAGCTGCAGTGTCACCTCAGCCATTCCCTCTGCCTGCTCCAGCCAGTTTTACGAGAGCTCTGGCTCTGGGACTGAACCTCAGGAATCAAGAGGCTTTTCAAGTTTAATTTAATAAAATACTTTGCAATATAAATTCTTCATGAATGCTCCATAAATCAGCTTGGGGAGGGATTTATAGTGTTTTCTTTTTTGTTTTTTTTTTTTTTTTTTCCAGCTAGGGGGAAGAAATCTCACTACTGTTTTGGGACCAAAGCTGGCATTGTTTGGATTGCAAGGAGAAATAAATCAAGCTACTACACTTAACATGATGGAGAGATTAAATTTACTGGGGTGCTCCCAGCTGCCCCCTCCCTCTCTACCCACAGCAGTTGTTTCTGGAGGGCAGAGGGAGGTGCTGGGGTGACCCTCGGTGTGTCACTAAGCAGGGCTGAGACATTCTGCCCTGAGAGTTGTCCCCAAGGTCACAGGACAGCCATGGGCTCTTGGGGGGGCTCAGCCTGGAGAAAAGGAGGCTCAGGGGGGACCTTGTGGCTCTGCACAGCTCCTGACAGGAGGGGACAGCCAGGGGAGGGTCAGGTTGGACACCAGAAGGAATTTCCTCATGGAGAGGGTGGTCAGGGACTAGAAGAGCCTGCCCAGGGAAGTTTGGTGGGCATCACCACCTTGCAGCCCACAGCATTCCCAGGGGGAAAAATTACACCAGCAGGGTTCACATGGGTTCTTCCCAGCTGCATTTCCAAGCTGGAAGCAGGCTGCCCCTGCTCCTGATCCCACAAGGTCAGCCAGGCAGCAGCAGCAGAGTGACCAAAACAAAACCCAGCCTCTAAATCCAAATAAACCTCCCTTGCTCTGGGATGGCAGTTGTTTTTCCAAGCTCTTTTGTCTCTTCCCAGCCCTCCCAGCCATACAGCATAGGGATTCCAGTGCCTGCACCTCATTAATATCACGGGGGAAGGCAGATGCTTTGTCCAGGCTGCCCAGCTCCAGCGCCCAGCAACATTCCTGCCTCGCAGGGTGCCTGATCTGGGATTGCTCCGGAGCTGCCAGCACAGCCATATGTTGCTAAGGGTCGTTTATTCTTGTTTGTAAAATGTATGGCTGCTCCCAGCTTCCACACTGTCAAAATGAGAAGAACTGGCCCCAAAATCTCTTGCTGCATGATTGGATCAGACGCCCGTACATCTGTTAACGCTGTAGGAGCTGTAAAATGGAATAAGTTGGGCTATAACTCAAGCACCTCGATTACCACCACGACGTGGGAGCAGCAGAACGGCTGCTGCTCCGCCAGCAACCACGCAAACATCCATTGTGCCAAGTCAGATGTAAATTTACACAAGGCAGCATTTCCTGGGCCAGGGCTCAGAAGGGAGGAGAGGGATGAGAGCCTCAACCTTGACAGGGTGTGCTGGAGCCCGGTGAATTTTGGGGTGCACAGCCCTGGCAGTGGGGAGCCAACTGCTCCACTGGAGCTGCAGGAGCAGGGAAGATCACAGGTCCTCCAGCAGGGCAAGTCCTGTGGGCTCACAGGCTCCTGAAATCCCCTTTTAGCCTGGAAATGGGCAAGGAAAAACCCTCCCCACCCCGGAGCAGCCCAGGGCAGGAAACATCAGCCCTGTGCCTGACAGGAGCAGGTTGAGCTTGCTGTCTGTGGAGGAAGGGGCTGTCAGGGACCCTCAGCCCCCCCTGTGCTGCAGCCTGGCCCAAAGTGCCCACCCCAGTGCCCACCTGACCCCAGTGCCCCCTCCCTGCCTTGGCAGGGCAGGCACAGAGAGGCAGAGCAACACAGGGAGGGCTCAAACCACCCCAGGGAAACTGGAGAGGGTCAGGATTGAAGAACTTGACCTCAGAAACAGCCACAAAAGCAGCTTGTGAGCACCAGTTCAGTGCCACTTACCCAGGTGGTGACAGTGCCAAGTGCCACATGGTGTGACCAGTCCAGCACCTGCTGCAGGAGCTGCTGCACCTCTTGGTAAATGGGAACAAACACAAAAATGAGCTGCAGAGACATCAGGGATGTGGAGACCAGAGCATGGCACAGCCTCCTCTCCATCCTAACCTGGAATCTAGCATGGGGCACAGGTGCAGAACAGAGGGATCTAACAGGGGGAACACCAGCCTGGGTGGGAGCCAGGGGCTGGGACAGCCTGCAGGAGCAGGAGAGGGGCAGCAGGAGCTGCTGTTTGCTCCTGAGCATCCCGTGCCTGCAGCAGGTTGGGACACCCAGCTCTGCTCTGTGCCAGCACTGAGTGAGCACCAGGCTCCAGGGATCCTTCAGGGATCCCTCCCAGCTCCTCACCCCACAGTTCCCAGTTTTATGCCCCCAAGGTTGGGATAGCCACGGCCACATCTCACCTCGGTGGCCCGGAGCGATGCGTGCCCAGATCCCGGTTGATGCCAGGGAAGCAGGGGCTGTGCAGGCCTGGCTGCTGCCAGCTCTGCCTTGGCAGCAGCTGCTCTGGGCTTGCTTTTTGCTGTTCCTGACAGTGCCAGATGCCTCTGTGTCAAAACAATGGCATTTGCACACTGACTGGGAGCCTCTCCCTAGCTCCCACCGTGCTCCCGCTCCCAGCAGAGCCAGAGAGGGCTGGGAATGGCCAGGGGGGGCAGGAGGGCTCCAGGCAGGGATGGAGGGGCAGTGAAGGGCTCCAAGCCTGGAGTCAGAGGGGAGCTGGAGCAGCAGGCACAGCTCTAACTCCTCCAAGGAGCCTCCAGCATCAGGCAGAAACACACAATATTATAATATTGTTATTAACATCAAAGCCCATGTCAGCTCCAGCAGCTGCTCCTTGGGGCTCCCCCACTCCTGCACTGGGGGATCCCACTTGGATTCCCAGCCTGTTTCCCTCTCCACCAGTGGTTCCAGTCACCATTCCCAGATGGGCACTGAGCATTGCTGGTCCCAGCACCCACCCCTGCATCCGAGGAGCACCAATATCCCCAGGAAGGACCAAACTCCCTGCACTCTGCAGGACCAGGCAGAGCTTCTCCAAGCATATTCCAACATGAGCAAATCCTGCTTCAAACAAGGCTGCCAGGTCCCTTTGGGCTCAACAGGCCTCGTATCGCCCCCTCTAGAGCACCCCAGAGATCCCAGCTCTCAGGGGCACCAGGAACCAGCTTGGCAACAGGCATTCCCATGGGAGCAGCAGGCTCCATGCCCAGCCTGGCAGACTCAGAATCCCAGACTGGTTTTGGTTAAAAGGAACCTCAAAGCTCATCCCATTCCACCCCCTGCCATGGGACACCTTCCACTATCCCAGGCTGCTCCAAGCCCTGTCCAGCCTGGCCTTGGACACTTCCAGGGATCCAGGGGCAGCCACAGCTTCTGTGGGCACCCTGTGCCAGGGCCTGCCCACCCTTGGAATAAAGGCAGGTGCTCTCTGAGAGGTGCCAGGGCCCCAATGCCCTGCTCTGCTCTGCCAGGAGTATCCCACCAGCACATTCCCTGCCCTAGGAAAGGACCAGGAGACACCCAACCATCTGAACTCATCCCAGCTTTATTTTCTCTGCAGGTCAGACACACAGGGATGCAACCAAGGTCTCCACATCAGCAATTCTAGGATAGAAAAGATCCTTGTGAATCTCCTGTGGCAAAACCATCCCTGGGCAGAATTCACAGAGCAGGCAGGGACTGACACAGCCTCCCTGGGACACAGGAATCAGCCCCTCCACAGGAATCCTTGCCTGCATCCACTGGGAATTTCCCAGACATTTATCACATTTTCCACACCAGCTCCAGCACTGGAGCAGTGTTTGTAGTGCAACATCTCCAGGTTTGGAGGGACCAAGCTAAGTCTGCAGTAAGATTTTTTTTCTAGGAATTGTACTCCTGAGGAACAAAGGGAAAAGGGGAGCAAGGATTTGATCTCAGTGTTCAACAACTCATTTCACTGAATGCTCATTGTGCTCTAGTCAGACACACTGCACTTCCTGGAAGGAAAAAGGAGATTTTGGGTGATATTTAAACTCTGAGAGGTCCAAGGCAGTGCCTAAACCTCCCAACTACACAGTAACCAACTGGTTAATGC